GACGTTTTTTTGTGTTGTGAGAATTTTTTACGACCTCAGTTGTATGGTATTGTATTTTACCTCTTCCCATTTGGGATGCATCAAGCTACCACTAGGGCGAAATATAGCCACATAATAATTTGTCGTGATCGTAGCTAGTAAGCACCTAAGCAGTACTGCTCTTTAGATTACGTCTGTTATCTGTGTGGGGGTTATTCGTCATAATCATAGTGCTAACTAGTTACCCGTGTGTTGAGCAACTTGGTGGGGACCAAGCGATGCATCTAAACATTTCACCGACTAGATTCTTGACGACGGCTGACCATACTGAACGTATCTCATGAATTTTTGTAATTTAATATAACCAATTGATCATGAAGCATAATACAGTGTAAATGAACATACCATTCGCATTCGCCCGAATATGATTTTTAGCGTCTGTACTCTCACAGAATATGGTACCCGCATTTGCTAGGCGACTATGATCCGACTCACTGGAACCCTTATATACTAGTCTCTGTGTTTGGACGATTCTGTACTTTCAGTCATAGTCCGAATTTCACAAACTTCCCCGTGCACATACTCACTTTAACGTGGATTAGGGATGGAGTTAGCACGGCAATCTTATTATCTTTAGACCAATAAAGTGTGCCTGTTTGGGAAGGTCGAGTGTTCAAAGTCCGGCAAGCAATATCCATGACTTCTCTTTAATTGGCAAGCACGTCCCAGGGTTCGAGTCCTAAAGTTTTTAATCTTTGGGTGAACCAATCGCCGCTATTTTGATGAAATCTTTTTCAGATTGCACGTGAGCTAAATTCTTGCCTTTTGCAATACGCGTCAATAAGCTTTCCGAAACAAATATTTTAAAAACGTTTGCGTGACAGGTATTTGCTGAGTGACATTGATTTTGCAAAAATGTGTCTGTGTTGATAGTTGGGATATAAACGACATTGAGATTTTGGATTGTAAATACGTTTAATATTAACCGGCACAAGGCTCTCTGTAAATCATATCAAGACATTTTAAAGCAATGGTATAGTCTGCTCGGAAAGTCTTTTCTCTACGCAAAAAAAATTAGCGTTTTAAAGCTATACAGTTTTTCTCTTGTTATAAACAAGGTACAATTGACCATCAATCTAAATATTTTGCACAAAAGTAAGTTAAAAGCAATTATTTATTCAAATCATACATAAAAAACCAGGTTAAAACTATTCTGCTCAAAGAAATATAATGGAATATTTTTGTACATTGCTATTATACCTTTTTTCTTCACCTTTATGTTAACACATAAGTAGCAGAGCTAGCAATGTCTGTAATATTACGTACGCTGTTTTACCAATCTTTCTTAAAACTTTGCCAGCTAACCCACAAAGACCCACATCTTCGATGAAATCTCCAATTTCAATTACAGATTTATATCCGTATTGTTTTCCAATTTTTTTGATTACCATTCCACTCAAATAAACTCCAATTAAAGGAGCTGGCCCAGCAGTGCAAATGATCAATTTGCCCATGACAATTGGTGCAAAGAATTTGATCACTTTCCAAATTTTGCTCCAAAATCCCACGTTTGTTAGTTTTTCCGAAATATTAAAACCCATGTTCTTTATTCTTTCCCAAGTCCGACACCAAATTTCCATCTCCGTTAGCTTCATAAAGGAATAGGCACAAAACAAAAGGATTAGTTAAACGCTTAGCTAGAGAAAATACTAATTTTGGAAATAAAAAATAGTGAATAATACTTTTTTATCCAAAAATAATTTTTCGTAATCGTAAAATATGTTTAACGTTATAAAAAACGGAAAGATTAAAGGAGAGGAAAGGGAAATAACAAGCTTATATAAAAAAACTTGAATTAAATTGTGGAAAACATCCTTAATATACTCTGGGAAATTTGAACACGCCTTACTCGGTTGGGAAGACTGTTTCGATCCGGATCGAATGGACCGGTTCAGGACTATTATTATAACCTCGCAACGGTTCGCTGAGTGTATTACAATAGAGTCGAATTGATTACCTTTTTAAAACATTATTTATTTATGAACGGCGGGACATAATAATTGTAACAAGTCCATTATCCATTTCGCAAGACATGTAATATTTGAATGTCTATATACAATATAACGTTCGTTGAATATAAGACATAAAATAATGTTTACAAGAATAAATAACTGAATACACTGCACTGACACAACAATAACAAATTTTGCCAGAGTAAACAAAAAAAATTGTAAATTTCAATGGCATATTTCCCACGTTAAAATTAAAGATATTTCTTCGTAATCGACGCGAGATCTTTGTATAAAATGGACTCAAACCTAATTCAAGAAAGCTTTCCTTGAAGTTGATTGAACGAGTATCCAGACTTGAAGATTATGAAACAGTTACATTTTCTGAAGTTATATACTCTTCAATCGGTAGATACTGCAAACTTGGCTGGCTGTAAATGTCGATCAAACAAACATTTCTGTTCGAATGACTTGTTCGTTATGCCACTGTCATCCTAATCAGGTTAATCCATCGCGGTTTTTTAAACTGTGTTACAACGATTTAATTTTTAGGAAAACACCATAAGGCTTACTTAAATATAAATACAGTAATATAGTAATAATAATAATAACAACAATCAAACAGTAAATAAATTGACCGCAATTCAATTTATAATGTTGAGATGGATGAATCACATAACCGAATATTCTATTCGCCGAATTAGCTCACAGTGATGTGGTATTATAGTTTTAATGAAAAAAAAAAAGCTTTGACTTTTTCAGCGTGACGAGGCTGGAAAGTTTGCGAATGAATGTTTATTCATAATAATTATCGATACACTTATTTCATTTCTTCCAATACTCTTTATTAACATGCATGCAACGTTGCAGACGGTTTTGTCAATTCTGGAAAGATTTCTCATAGTCGGGTTTGGGATGGTTTCAGCAATTCTGAATAGAGCCCTTCGGGTATATCGAATTTCTCTGCCTTTAGTTTTTTTACTTTAGTTTGACGGGGAAAATCGTTCTGGACTGTATGGCGTATTGGGGAAAGGTTCCACTCGTTCGTTACATATGTAGTGCGACATCGAAGCATAATGTCACGAACAGTCATTCTTTCGCTTTTTTCCGGAGGCTTAGCCGTTATGCGAAATTCTTTCACGAAAACTCGATTTTTGTTGCCTAATTTTTAATAGTAGCGTGTGCGGTTATTATTAACAAGATATTGCTCCGCCAATTTTTTCTGATGTCACTGCTTGGTGAGGGTATCCAAAACGAGTCCTGCCTTGGTTTAATCTTTGAACGTAGCAATCCAGCGTCTACCTGTGCCAAAAAACAACGCTTGTTTCCCTTCTAAAATCACAACTCTTTATGAATTTGAGCCATAGAATAAACTTTAAGTTCGAGGAAGACAGAATTATTTGATCGAGAAATACATTTTCTGAACTTGATATTTCTGTCATTTTCCAAAAACCAAAAATAAAGTATCTCGGCTTATTTTCCGCCCCAGCGTTCTACTATGCTTTACAAAAAAATGGTTGAGTAATAAACTTGTCTCTCTTTTTTATTTGTTACATAAAAGCGCATTTATGATAATTCCCATTGCAGTAGGTAGCCAATTTGAAGGCAGCGATAGCGGGCGGCGCAATTGACCAGTCTTTATTAGACACAAATAAAGCACTTGTCGTCCGGAACTTTTAATGGGAATAAGATCAGTACGCCGTCTATTGCTAAGCAACCAATAAATGAGATGTCTTGGATAGCAACTTATTTTTAAGCGTTAACGCTACATACAGTATATTATAGAAATTAAAAATTCAGCCTTTACCATATCGAAACATTGCTCCAAATAAATCTCCCAGAAAACCTTACGCTTGTTAGTTTTAATTGATGCCTTAATTGCTAAGTGCTATTGTTTAAGCGAGATCTAATTAATATAAATATGGTGTTCATATTCAATTAATCTTAAAGGTTGACAGTTTAATTGAATTTGGAATCTATTACTGTATTAGCAACAGTAAAAGTTAAATTAATTGCTTATAATAACATAACAAAATGATATAAATGCATCTATATGTTTATTTCATGCGATATTTAGAGTAGATAATTCTGTATTGTTAGATTTTCCGCAACTATAATAGTTCAATGAACGCAGTAAAATCTGTTTTAACAAATTTCTTCATCCTGCCAAAATCTTCTTTCATTCGCTAAACGAATCTTTATCATGTTTAGTATAAATTACGTAAACTTCGTCATAGTAAATTTCTTATTTAATTTCCAATTGATTTTCTACATTCGTCTTACCGCCTACTAGTTTTCAAAGTCAATAAAATTCTGCCATAACACGACAAAATTTTTAAACTATGATCTTTAACCGACCAAAAGTGGTAGACACATGTAACATGGTTCATTTTTAATGTCTTATTTTCGGGTGTCAGACAACATAATTTTATCGCAACTTTATTTGTATTTGAAAAAAAAAACCCAAATAAAGGAAAAAATACATGGTGCAATACTTTTGGCACAACACCAAAGGCAGAATATATGAATTTTTTTATTTTTGTTTTCTTATCTAAACGAACCTGAAAATTTTTTATGACAACATTACCATCGAGTGTAACCACCACTGGCCTTGAGCACGTCTGCAATCCTTTGTGGCATAGTATCAATTAGCTTCAAACAAAACTCAACATCGACCTCATTCCATACCTGTTGTACTTTATTCCAGAGGTCGTCTCTATTTGAAATATTTCCAGGAAGTTTGCGCAACCGACGGTCCATTTCGTTCCAAATGTTCAATAGGGTTTAGATCTGGTGAGTACGCGGGCCAGTCTAAAACCTTAATATTAATATGATGTTCACTCAACCACCTCTTTAGTCTCATGAGCAGCATGTTTCGGGTCATTGTCATGCTGGAAGATGACATCATTAATGCCTAAATCAGGCATGCTCATGGTCCCCATCAATTTATTAGCTAAAATTTCTCGGTATACTGTAGCTCACCATTCATTCGACCGTCAATTTTACAACATAATCCGACGCCAAAATAACCGAAGCAGGCCCATACCATGACTGACTCCTTGCCATACTTCACCGTTGGTTTAACATGTTGTGACGTTATAGGCAATTTTGGATCCCTCCAACACCACTCTCTTCCATCCGAGTTCCAAATCATAAACTTACTTTCATCTGACCAGATAACCTTGCGCACAGTCCAATCTCTATACTTTCTCGCAAATTTTAGTCGTGCTATTCTATGCCGCTTCCTCAGTAGGGGTTTTTTTTTCTTTACTCTTGCTACTAGACCTTGTCTTCTTAATGCGCGTCGTATCGTATTTGGGGAAATTATCATATTTTCGTCATTGGCGAATTTGAACCGCATTTGAGCATTCGCCTGACTTTACAAGCCTAGCTATATTCCTCTCATGACGTTCAGTAAGTATCCTTGGACGACCTGGTTTTGGGGCGACATCAAAACTGCCGGTTTCCTCTTTTCTTTTTTTTATTCGAAGTACGGTCGCATGGTTAACATTCTCTCGATTAGCTATTTTCACGGCTACTATAGCCCTCCTGAACAAGTCTATATATAATTGACCTTTTCTCCACTGGAATTGGCTTCATAATCATATGTAGAAGACTGAGGCGATGCTGTAAGAGTAGTAATATCCCTTGGCAGATTTTTATTTAACGGCTAATGTTATACTATGTGGCATTTAATCGATCGACCTGGAAAGTGCCAGAAATATTGCACCATAAAAAGTTAGTATGATCGGGAATTTCTCGAAAAGCAGCAAATAAATTTAAACACAGCATAATAAAATTATAACGTTTTTAATTATCTATTTTTGTAAGTCATTGCAACTATTGCGTTGAGAGAAATCACGGGTCAAGACTCTTTGTCATGAGTGGTGCAATATTTATGGAAGTCACTGTATTGTCACACGAATTTAGTATGTTGTTCAAATCTCTCAAATGGTGTCTTATAGCGAGTTCGGAATTTCTTCGTCACAAGTTTGAATTAAAAATTTCGTTCAATCGGGCGCTAAGCATATATGAAATGAATTGATTCAGTGAAAGATGTCACCTTTGTTAATACTTTATTAACCAATCCAAATGGTAGGTTGAGTATTTGTTTGTGTGACTAAACCATGTTTATAAATGTGATGTAACGAGAAATGAAAAATCGTTTTATCCAGAAGATGTCTAATCCAGCCATTGACAAGTTGATTCAATTACAAAAACTTGAATGGATTCCTTACGAAGAAGTCACCGACGCAAAGCCGACTCAAATTGACAACGTTTACTATGCTTTTTCATACGATGCGATAATGGTATTACTTGGAAGCATCGAAGAATGCACACCAACACTTGTGAGTGAGTTTGCTAGAATATACTCACTTCCGACACACAAGTACAATAATGACAATAACTTTAGACGATACTTCAAATGGCTTTCTTATCGCAACAAACTCATATGGGGATTCACCAAATCCTATGACGATAACTATTATATGGTTGCTAGTAAACTCTTTTACCCCTGTTATTCTCTTTATGGCTTCTGCTCCACATGTGGAATACTCCGATGTAGTCCCGTGTGGTGCATTTGTGGTTATAA